CGCGATTATTTCCGCGCCCGTTTCCGCGTTGTGCGTCTCGCGTCGGGCGCGAAGCAACGAGCGTGCGCGCGCGCGCACGCACCAAGTGACATGAAAATTAGATAATGCGTGATAATTTAATTAAGCGTCGAGTGAAAACGACAATGCCGAGAGAGGTGACGTGCGTGAGAGGACATTTAATTCAGTTAATAATCCCGTGCGCCACGGAGACACCCGACAAATGATACTTTCGAGCTCGAAAGTAGGCTAGATCGTGTCCACATCACGAACATGTCGCACCGCGACGGTTTTTCACAGTCTCCTTTGAGACATATCCCCTCTCCCTCCTGCCGGTTTCGTCGGTGTTCTGAGGATTTCGAACGACGATACGTTCGTTCCCCGCGGCGGAGGAAAGACCGACAGTGATTCAATCGAGCGGATGTAACGAGATCGAGTTTTTCATATCAGAATAAAATTCGAGAATTCGCCGCATCGAGACGAAAGAGACGAGCGCGGGGAAAACGCGAGGAAAACGCGACGCGAAACGAGAGCGAGATACCGTCAAAAGAATCGCTATTTCATTCCTGCTGCGTGTACACTGTAAACCATTCGCAGTAAACTATTTCACATTTTGCGAATTTAATGACGCGATGAGACGCGAGGAGGGAGGAGCCGACGATGCGGTTGACGGTAAAGCAAATAATTATTTTCCGTCCGCTATTCCACCCGTCGCGTATCGTGTATATCGACCGCGGTACATTCTACATTCGCCGCGCGGTGCACACGTGCGAAAACGTAGCTCTCCTTTCCCTTGCCCCCTCTCTTCCACACGTTTCTAACGTTCACAATGTACAGCAGAAAATAAAGCACAGACCGTTGTTCGAACGAAAGACCCTGACATTAACCTAGCCCGGGTCGTCCTTCGCTTTTCCGCGTACTCCTAATCTTTCTCATCGAGTTCTCATCGAGAGCGAGCGAGTTCTAGCCCCGCGCCGTCAGGATATTATTATAATTTAATAGCGCTACTCAGAATCGCGCGCGCGCGCGAGTAACGACAGCCCGTCGCGGTTGCATAACGGTTGACCGGCACACAAGCAAGCGAGTAAAGCGGCCGTGTAAAGAAGCGCAACGGAGTGCAACATGTTCCGGGGGAGGACCGCAGCGACGGCCGGCCTTCCCGTGACATTTTACGAAACGCGAAACTGTGCCGCCCACGCGATCGGAGACGCGGTACGATCGCGCAGCAACGCGCGTCCATTAAGCGTAATCGCGAGCGCTTATCTCGCTCTCGTGCCGCCGCTCCGACGTGTACACGCGCGTTATGGAATTAAAGTACTCGTCGACACCGCGCGCGAGAACATCGATTTCCCTACGATCTGCCCACCGCCTGTCAGCCGATCTGGCCGTCTCTTGTGCCCCGAGAACCTCGCTCATCCCTCGCGCATCCCTCCAAAGAATATTAATGTGCGCCGCGCGGCAGCGGCGCGGTGCAAAGACGAGGCGCTCTAATTTAATACAGCTCCCGCACAGTAACGAAGGCGGACGGAATACGACGCACGTTTCCCGGTGCTATATCGGCGACGATATATCCGCGTGTCATCGGCGAGAAGCGCGACCGCGACGTACATTTTGTATAATTCGCGGCTATGCAGCTACAAACGCGGGATCTTGCACCACCGATCTTAATTACCGAGCGAACGTCTGACTTTATCGTTGCGTTATTCAACGCGACGGCGCGCGCGATTGTGTGTAAATAGGGGTGGGAATATGGGGCGAAACGCGACTCGCGTTCCGATGGACTCGACGATCGTTATAGAAATGTTAACCTGTTTGCGGTGTTGACACATAATTTGAAAAATTACTCCCGCATCATCGAGCAGCATTTTTTTCTACGATAATGATAAAATGAATGAGAAACACGCGCACGGGGAAAAACTCTGGTTGAATTTGCATGACAAAATGAACGAACCAAACGTGTTTTCGTTGGCAGACACGTTGGAATTCACGAAGGATTCTACGAAGGAACAGTTCGTAGAATCGAATTTAGTTCATAAGAGCCAGGAATGCTGTTTTCCTCAAGCAAAGGGCGTTTCCTTCGTTCATCCCTCACGTTCATTCAACTAGACTCCCTTCTCCGTGCGTGATCCTTGCGATTCGGTCCGTCTTCGGCAAGAAATTGCGATTATTCGCGACAGTTCCGTGACAATAGCCAAGTAGAAACGGAGAAGCATCTCGCTTCTCATGCAAATCGGCTAAGAAACGCGGTGGGAATATAAGCCGTTCGACGTGAATTTTATCCTCGAGATATGATTTTCATAAAGATCGATTATTACGACACGTTGTTGATTTAGAGATCGAGATCTGAAAACTCGTCCACAGCGTCGTCCTACTTACCCGAAAAGATTCCGATTACTCCACTCGACCGTAAGTATTCGGAGCATCTGAACTTCATGTATTATTTCCGCGATATAAGCCGACGAGTATAGAACAGCTCGGGTCCGTATCCATCGAGCGAATCGATAAGCTACTCTAAGCTCTGAAGCTACCGGGACGGTAAACGTAAAATTACACGGCGCTCTAAGCAGCACCGCCAACTCTCCGCTAACTCTCGCGGGGACACCTTTGATCTCCAGCGAAGCGCAATCGCGAATTAACGATTCCCCGCATTATCCTCGACCACACCGGCAATCATCGCATCGCCACTTTCCTCCTTCGTGTCGTGGCGTGTGAACGCCGAGCGGTCCGGCTCGTCGCCGTTACGGACACGTAAAGCTTTTTACCCTCCCTCCCCTCTTCTCTTTCTTTCTGCCGTTGGCGAGAGACGAAATTGCAAGCATTTTCACGATATTATTAGCGGCCGCGCGCGCGCACGCGAAAGCTTCTATCGTTCCGATGGAACGTTCTGCGGAAACCCGTCGCGGCTGGAAACACACCCGAGCGTGCACACAACGGCGGCGATTACGTGACTCCAAGTGAGCGCGCTGTTTGCGCTGCTCATAATGAACACGCGTATTATTAACGCGATGTAATGGGACCGCGATAATGTAATCGAGGGACTCGCCTCGACACGAACTTCCGCGGGCGCGATTCGCAGCGACGCGTTGTAATTTAATCCGACTGTGTGACGTCCCGCTCGCGGCTAAGGAGTCAAAGACACTTATGTAGGTAAAATATCGCCCTCGCGCGCGCCGGCGGGCCAGCACACACGCTTCGAGGGTGGTTCTTTCTTCTCGCCGCCACACCCCGTAACCCACATATCGAAAACGCACGTGGAACACACATACGCGGGATATGACGCGCTCGGCACCGCCGCCGTTGACGTTTGTTACTAATTAAGTCGGTAGGTTGCCGCGCGAACAAAAGCGCCCCGCTTTCGTGTAGCGAGCTGAAATTGTCCGACGAGGATTCGCATCGACAGAAGCGATTATCCGTAGCATTTTTTCATAGCATCGCGAACACCGTCGCCGCATACATACATATAATCAGGGATTTCTCTTTACTGGGATACCATCTAGCCCGGTTAATCAAACGCGCTTTCGCGGTAAGAAATGGACATGTTGAAAATTATCTGACGTAAACAACGAGCATGGGATCGCGCCTGCCGAGGTGTAAACATCGCCGAGGTCACATTGACGGGAGGAACGCGGTTGGTATTTTTGCTAGCCCGTAGCCGAAGCACGAGCATGAGAAAAAATATGTCGATGTATATCGAGAAGGAGACTGCCGTAGCAGATTCGTTAAATTTTTTTAAATTGACACATTGCGCATAAATATTACGCACAAAATATCAGGTTAATATTCGTATAAAATGTTGCAAAAGAAAGTCAGCTTCAGTACAATCAGTACGGCTTTTTATTCGTCAAATATATATCTAATCGATTATCATTTTCAAGATTCCGCGTATAATTTTTCGCAGAATAAATATTTCCGCAATGATCAGAGAGGAAGCAAACAGTGCTTCTCGCAATTCATATTTTTATTAAACTACATATGTTATTAAACTACATACGAACGCATATTATCGCGCACTATTTTTTATTATCTCTGGCCGAAAATCAATGCGATTTATATATGAGCATGCATTATAAAACATGACGCTTTCTGAGCGTTTGATTTGCACACTCACCATCGACTTTCGTTAACTCCTGTGAATCCTCTTCATCCGTCCAATGTCCAGTCTCCTCAGCACAATTTTTTGTCGCTTTTTCTCTTTTCTTTTCTCTTTTATTAATTTCGATGGGATTTAAGGAAAAAGAATGACGAGACAAAGAAACATATATGGTCGCGTTCAAGAGATGAGATTTTTATCCCAAAAAGAAGTAAACACGATATTGCAACGTTCCGAGAATGTATACGTGAGACGCGATTCGCGTAGAATCAATCGCGAATGAAAATTACGACGTTTAGACAAGAGAGAAAAAACGAAAATGTTTTGTTTCCCGAACGGTAATTCGAAAGAAACGCACGTCCTGTTTCGTAAGGACTAAGTTGTAATGTAAATAAACGCGCGTATCAAATTTATCGGTCATTTCAAATGAAATAGTATATAGCTTCTGACATGCGTGAAAAATGTAGAATGTACGCGTAGAAAATTGATAAACTTGACAGAGTATAAGATAAATAAAATTTATCAAGCCAAATAAGATAAATAATGGTGAATTTCACGCGCGATGACGCAATTCTGATCAAATTTTAACATTACACACTACTCGAAGCAGGAGTTATATTGATTGAATCGCAGCAAATAATTCCATATCTTGATTTCAATATAATAACAAACTAAAGCATTTATATCTGTATCTTCTAATGATTCAGAGTAAATATAAAAGAGAGAAATATATATTATATCTTAAGGATTCTGTTGTGTAATACAGTCATTGAAAGACACGATCTCCTGATTATTTCGAGCAACGTGTGAAAACAGTACAATTAAATCGCATTGATTTTCTCGAGATATTGCAAATATCCACCACCATAGAAATGTCTTTTTTTCTCCGACTCACCGATACACAGCAGACAGAGTCAGCCGCGTTCTGCTGCGGATCTGTAACAAAAAATATAGTTTCGTTAGTTAAATCGTTAGGTTAAAAGTTAGGTTTGGTTGAATTCAGTTCGCGGAAGCGCGCGCGCGCAGATACAAATGTTGATCCTTTGCCATCGTAATTCAACGGCTTTTATTGCAATCACTCAGTTTTCGATCGCAATGAATCAAGAAGAAATGTACAAACAATCAGTGAACCTCACCTTCAAGCCGACTCTGCTCGGCCCGAACCGGATCCTCCGGTGCGGCATCGGCGTCCGTCGAAACTGCCTCCCGGTAACCGCAGCTATCGCGTGGCCGCAAACTCCAGCAGATCTGTAACAAAAAGCGAGTTTCTTCATTATTCATTACAGCGACAAATGCGCCCCGCGTCAAGAGTACGAAGACTCAAAACTACAAATTAGCTTCTTCAACTTAACCAAGTTAACCAATAAAAGTTTACCTTCAAAGACTATGAAACACTGCTATTGCTTAAGATGCTCCGGATCGTCACGCACACATACACACACGCGCGAATATTACACGTTACATGCGCGCGTATATTGTGATCAAGCAAGAAAATTCGGAAATTATTACGCCGCGGCGGCGATCCACCGATCCGTCCGCCGCCGCGGCGTAAACAATAATGGAGGCGGTCGCGGCAGTTGCGTACTTATGACCATGTTGTTTTCAAAATCGCGCGACCTTGTCTCGCCGGGACGCGTCTCAGAGAGCCCGTAACGTTGTATAAAATTTACCTTCTTAAACAAAAAGGTAAAAAAAGGCGCCAGATACACGCGCAACACGTATTGTGTTATTTTTAGAAATTTCAAATTATTTTTCTCAAGTTATATATGTAACATAAAATTTTACAAGTAAAATTTATATAGCTATAACAAAACTCTACAATACTACTTTGCAAAAGAAACGATATAAACGGCAATGTTTACGCTTTTAGTACCGTGCATTGTACCGCATCTGAACGTGTATCTTTGGGCAATATAATTTATTATTTTCGTTATACAAGTAATAAGTTTGTACAACTTATATCTCTAACAAATTCTCCTATTGAATACTATAAATAAAACTGTACAAAGCTGTTCTACAAAAAAATGATATAACAAAACAGTAGCATCAACTGAAAAACGCAACTTCGTTTCACTTGAACTTGGCACGAGGCACTGCCCGTGCCTCTTGATACATTGTCTTTTTCCTTTCGCCGATTCGAACTACGCTGCGCGCTCTCAACAAACGCCTGTTGCACACTTTGCGTTTTTTCATACACGCGCGACGGAGGAGAATAGCTAATTTGCTTTAAGCCTGAATAATATGCGCACGTGGATTTTCGCGGTGTAAAAATTTCACGCGACCACGAATTAGCCGAAGGGCGAAAACGCACTGCAGCGTATAAAAAGCGCTGGATTCGTCGTTGCAGTCGCTAATAAAGTTTGTACAAATTTTGCATGAAAATTGAGTTGATTTGCTCATGAAAATTTGCCGAATATGGCAGTGCGGGATTTTACAACTGATTCTGTGTTAAACCATTAGGTGTCAAGTTTTCGATATCGAGCCGATAATAACGGCCAGTACGACTCAGGATTTTGTTCGAAACCGCAATAACGTATCAGAGACTGAATTCCTTGAAATCGCAAGCTTGTTATCCGGAAGAAAAGACCAAGTACGCACGAAACTTTGACTTTACGGATTCCCGACGCTTTATTTTCGTGTCGATTATCTAACAATATACCCTGACACATCTATGCGACGATACATCGCGTGTCATGATCGTACAGGTAAGGGCGTGTCATGACACAAGGGCAAACGTGACGATGATCCTGTGCAGCGCGAAATTTCGAAAAGAATGACGCTTGTCTCACGAGATATAGCCGCGCGAAGAGTTGAAAGTTCTTCAAAGCGGCACGCGGCTCTTTGCCAGTGAGCCAACGGAAACATGCCCGATACATTTGGTCTGTTCTTTTCAGCTGCACTACTGAACTAGTGCAATATTTCTTCTCGCTCTGACTTATTGCACCAGTTTAATATTGTAGCTAGAAAGAACAGGCCCGAGGTAACGTGTTTGCGCGCCGAACTTCACACCTCCGACGGTGCGCCCCACTCAAAGGAGCGACGTGCAACATTGTCATGGGCCGTAGTCCCCGTTAAACGGATTCGCCGCCTGTTCGTAGCTCCGCGTGGAAAAGTCGTAGACATGCGGCAAATTGCATCTTAAAGCTTAGACTATTTCGCTTCCGACGAGCGGCTGGTCGTTCTTCTATGTTATCTTAACACTATCAAAAAACACCGCTATTCTCCTTCTTTTTCATTTTTAGATCTAATTGAATTTAATTTTGACGTTTCTCTAGTCTCTAGTCTAAATTAATTAACTTATTCTTCCAGTAAAGATCGACTTTCTGTTGAACGGAGGACAAATACGCGACTGGAAAATGTTTTCGATTTTGATTTCAGAATATCCGAGCAGCATGAAATGAAAATATTGCAGAAAATATAATTTTCTATTTAGCGTAGAAAAAGAGTATATTATAATTTCATTTTTGTAAAGCGCTACCCAGTTTACGTTTTCGTTTGACCGTATGCATATACAGAGACCTATTACAGCGAAAAACCAGAAGAGTCTTCGTCTGTAAAGCTATTTACCTTATTCGGATAGATCGTCGCCATATAAATCACTCCTAAACATTATGAACCGCACTGCACGAATGGGCACCCAATTTTTTGCCGATAATGGCCCACAACTGTGCGATAAATTCTTGGCCAACGACTAATAGTTATAGATCGGTCAAGCGTTAATTCTGCCGCAGTATTCGGCTATCTTATACCGGTGACTGCTCGTATTCTAACGCTATTCCGAATTATTCAGTAAATACCTCGACATTTTTATTGTCCGATAAAGTTTATGAAATACGCGCTATTACATGTACGCTAATATATCAGGCGTGAGCTACGTCCACGGTAATATACATCTCGCCGCAAGATAAAGTTTTCTGATGGGGGCTCGGCCGGCAGACGTATCGCCGGGCAATAAATATTCCGTCGTAAAATTTCTCGATGCGGAAAATAATCAAGTCACGTTCCGTCCCGAGTCCCGGTCTAAATCTTCCGACCGGGAATTCGCAGTTAAGCGAAAGTTAAGCGTCAACGGAAGTACAAATATCGCGCACACTCGGCGCCGAGCGCGGATCGTATTTCGGCGGAGACACGGTAACCTTTGTTGTTTCGTAACATTTGACATTTCATCGGCCTCAGACGTTTTCGCCTCGAGCATTACTAGTCGCGGACTAGTGAAATATGCTGATAAATTTAGACGCAACGGTGACTAAGTCACGAGGCTGATCCAAGTTTTCCAGACGGTCGCTCGTTTATGTATCAGCCAAATGAACGATTAACTAATCGGAGAGGAAAATGCACGAATCCCAGAGAAAAGAACGTCTCATTATCCGCATGTGCTTAAGACAAGTTTACGATGAATCAACCTGTGCAATTAATTAATTGCGGATAAACTAACAATTTTTGACCAAGAGGTCATTAATAAAGACCCATGATTATAATTCATTCGAGATCGACCAGGCAAACGGGGAACGTGACGGGGAGCGAAATGTTCGTAATTACGTCAGACGTACGCTTGAAAAAGTCATAAAGCTCGGGTTGCATTCTATCCTGATCGTGCCACAGCCGATTCGTCTCCGCGCGGGCTCTATTTTCGAGGGCACCTTTCGAGGGCTAAACCCGGTTAAGCCTCGAATGTTCACGACTGTCGCGAGCGCCTCATAATAGACCATTAATTTCTTCGTTAGGCTTCTCTTCGACGTTCTCGCCGTTGCGCCCGTGCCGTCCTTACCGCGTGCTTTTCCCAGCGGAAATCATCCATTTTCGCGCTACGTGACACAGCGAGTCGTGTATCTCGGCCGACACCATACAGGGTGATTAAAAAAGACACGGCGACACTTCGGTATGACCCGTGTACACGCCGAACAAAGTTTCCCCCGATCTAGGTTACCGTTAAACTACGCGTAACGAATACGTGACGCCGCGCGCCAAGCGCGTGTAACACCCCGTAATAACTTTATAATACAATAAAATCGCCCTCTAAACAACAGTATCGGCGTGTCGAATAATAATAACAGACAGAATAACAGTAATAACCGTCTCATACGGAATAATTAATTAATTATGCGGAAACCGACCTATTAAATTGATAACGATAAACGAACAGCGGAGCCAATGAATACGATATTAGATCGAAATCATCACATGTCGCTCTAACGACGGGTATTAAATCGCGCAGCCGTGATAGCCAGCGCGATGAATAATTGGAATCGCGTCGAAATAACAGTCGCGAAATTGTGCTATTTTCAGCAGAAGAATTCAACGTCAAAATCGTCGTCAGAATGGACATGCAATAATCGTCTTAGAAGGATCGGGGAGCGAGGGACATATTCGAAGTGTTATAACTCGGTCCTGTCGCGTTGGAAAGACTTAGCGTGCTGGAAGAATCTGCGATAAGCCGCACTTGTATATATATATATATATATATATATATAGAGAGAGAGAGAGAGAGAGAGAGAGGGAGGAAGAGAAAGAGAGACAAAGACAGAAATGTCTGCAGCCGCGTATAAAGCAAACGATTGCTGCATCTTTCTAATATTTACGCAGCTATATGAGAGAGAGGAGGCATTCCGGCGTACGTCCGATCGAAAATCGACTCGCACCACTGCGCGCGGCGAAAGGGATATAAATCTCGACGCGCGGACGCAGAAGAGGAGCCGCGAGAATTAATCTCATTTGTAAACACGGATGCTCGTTCCCGCGAGAGTCGGCATGAATTATGAAAGTGCGGGGAAAAATCTTCGCACCTCTCGAGTACGCAGGATGCGCGTCCGCGGAAACGACGTAGGTGGTTTCGGTGGAATAAAAAAAGAGAGAAAGAATCGCGGAATAAAATACATATGCGCGCGCGCACGTTCGAGGCTAGTCGGGATTTTGACTGCGAAGAATATTCAATTTCGAAAATTGAAACTAAACCGCGACGACTCGACACGTAGTATAACGGGGACGTTGGCGCTTAAAGTTATCCGCTTGAATATTAAAACTCGCCGAACAAAGAATTTTTTTTCTGGTCCTTCTCTAAAATATTCCGCTAGCAAACGGGAGATGATTAAAAGAAGAATTCATTTTGAACACGGCGCTCGCGAGCGCTGACGCGGCAAGTTTGAGAAATATTGCGCACACCAAATCGCCGATATTTAATTAGCTAGCTGCCGTGCTATCAGCCGATATCGCCCTAAATATTAATTATCGACGCGTCGTTTGCACGGACAAGCCGCGATTTGTGACCCCGCGCGTGAGCGGGCGGCACCGAAGCGCGGCTCTGACGCGCTATGTAATAAAAATATACAGACGCTAAAACGCACGCAATAAAAGTTACAACTCCCACGACAAATATATAATAGAAATACATCGATGATATTGCAACGCACCATTCGACGAATCGCACAGAGTGCCAACATTTCATCTAAACCGCCATCCAACAGATTGTATTCCCGAGCGAAAATTATCCGAAGGAAAATTCTCTCGCCCACTCCGCTAACTAAAGGACACTTCGCATCTATTAAAATCCCCGTCCGAGGCTAGAAAAGAAAGAGTCGCGAGTCGCGCTTAATGAACGGCTAACGTGCCGCACACGCGACCACCTTCGCGATAAAATTACCACCCGCGCGACCCGAGGGGGAAGGGGTTGATTAAGTCCGCTCG